AAGGACTTGCCCGCAGATGTTCTTTTGGGAAACGATTTGGCCCCTTTGGTTTCAGCCTATGCTCCGATGGGCCCTGCAGACGTGAACCCAGTGACCACCCGTGCCCAGACCCGTGCTGCCGGAACCAGCCCACTTGCTGACGAGACCCAGGTAAGATCTCCTTCCCCGACTGATACCCCAGATCAGGTCCCCTTAAGCTGGGATTCCCCAGAGGAGTTTGGGAGGGAAACCCGGGCGGATCCGACCCTCCAAAGATACAAGGACAGGGCAGAGGCTGGGGAGGAAGGAATAGATGGGGAACGGTATGAGTGGGTGGGGGACAGGTTATATAGGATCCCTAAACCTTCCCAGAAGAGTGTTGCCTCTCCGCCGAATCGCCAGTTAGTGGTACCTGCAAAGTACCGGCAGGAGATTCTGCGGATAGGGCATGATGTTCCTTTAGCTGGACATCTAGGGTCCCGCCGCACAGCCTATAGGATTTCACAGAACTTCTTTTGGCCAAACTTTAACCAGGCTGTGCGGATGTACTGCAGCACGTGTGACACATGTCAACGGGTAGGAAAGCGGGGGGACCACCCTAAGGCTAGGCTATTATCGATGCCTATTATAGGGGAGCCCTTTGCCCGCATAGCCGTTGACATTGTGGGTCCACTGGCCAGGGCTAGTCCATCCGGTAAGAAGTATGTTCTTACCGTGGTGGACTATGCCACCCGCTATCCAGAGGCAGTAGCGCTGTCTAACATAGAGGCAGAGACGGTTGCTGATGCCCTGGTTAGAATTTTTACTAGGGTCGGGTTCCCTAAGGAGATCCTCTCCGACCAGGGAACCCAATTCACCGCTGTGCTCACCCAGCAACTGTGGAAGGTGTGCGGCATTAAGCCGTTACTTAGCTCACCCTACCACCCACAGACTAACGGTCTCTGCGAGCGCTTTAACGGTACCCTCAAACAGATGCTGAGGACCTTTACAGACACTTGCAGAGACTGGGAGAGATTCCTGCCTCATCTATTATTTTCTTATAGAGAGGTGCCCCAGGAATCTACTGGGTTCTCCCCCTTTGAGCTGCTGTATGGGAGAAGGGTCCGCGGACCCCTAGATCTCATTAGAGGCCACTGGGAGGGGGAGACGGAGCAGGAAGGGACCCCCATAGTGCCATATGTTCTGGAACTCCGGGACCGCATGGAGAAACTGTCCCTGATGGTAAGGGAGAATCTCCAGGCGGCCCAGGGGAGACAGAAGAGATGGTACGATCAGGGTGCCCGACAGCGGGTCTTCCAGGTTGGGCAAAAGGTATTGGTGCTTAAACCTGTGAAGGCCAACAAGATGCAAGCATCTTGGCAGGGCCCGTACAAGGTAGTGGCGCAGATCTGCGACACTACTTACTTGATAGCCAGCTGTGCAGATGAGAGGATCCAGCGGTCCTTTCATGTGAACATGCTGAAAGAGTACCAGGAGAGACCTGAGAATATTGCAGCAGTGTGTGCCCCAGCTGCAGATGATTCTGAGAATTTACCCCTTCCAGATCTATTAGAAAGGGATTCCCAGACTGACCTTACTACCTTGGTACAGCTAGGGGACCGGTTGAACCCCACAGAAAGGGTACAGGCGCAGCAGTTGTTATGGGAGAAGCAGGCGACGTTCTCCCAGGAACCAGGTTATACCACCCTAGCTGTGCATAAGGTAGAGACCCCTGGACAGACCCCGTTACGACAGCCCCCCTACCGTATCCCTGAAGCAGTCCGTGAAGGAATGCGGAAGGAGATACAGGAGATGACCCAACTTGGGGTTATCGAGCACTCCGACAGCCCTTGGGCCTCGCCTGTAGTCCTGGTGCCAAAGAAAGATGGGACCACCCGGTTCTGTGTGGACTACAGGCGACTCAACGAGCGGACCACCACTGACGCCTACCCAATGCCCCGGGTAGACGAATTACTAGATCGTATTGCCAGGGGGCGATATCTGACCACCATAGACCTGTGTAAGGGCTACTGGCAGATCCCCCTGGCCGAGGATGCTATCCCCAAGTCGGCATTTGTCACCCCATTTGGCCTGTACCAATTTAAGGTCATGCCTTTTGGGATGAAAAATGCACCGGCTACTTTCCAACGGATGGTGGATAGACTCCTGGATGGCTTCCAAGAATTTGCCTGTGCATACTTGGACGACATTGCGATCTACAGTGGGTCCTGGGAGGAACACCTGGTACATGTAGGGGTAGTGCTGGATAAGATTAGGGCCGCTGGCCTGACGTTGAAGCCAGAAAAGTGTCATCTAGGTATGGCTGAAGTGCAGTACCTGGGTCACAGAGTGGGGTGTGGGAGCCAGAGACCGGAGCCAGCCAAGGTAGAGGCAGTGGCTAACTGGCCCACACCTACTACTAAGACCCAGGTATTGGCCTTCTTGGGGACGGCAGGGTACTACAGACGCTTTGTCCCTGACTACAGCGCTATCGCTAAGCCCCTGACAGACCTGACGAAGAAGAACTTGCCTAAGCAGGTCCTGTGGTCTCCGGCTTGTGAAGCTGCGTTCCAGGCACTGAAGCAGGCTCTTGTGAATGCCCCTGTCTTGGCTGCCCCAGTCCCTAACAAACGCTTTCTCGTCCATACAGATGCTTCCATGTATGGACTGGGGGCTGTGCTGAGCCAAGTCGGGGAAGATGGAGGAGAGCACCCTGTCGCATATCTCAGCAGAAAGTTGTTACCCAGAGAAGTGAGTTATGCGGCAGTGGAGAAGGAGTGTTTGGCTTTGGTCTGGGCATTGAAAAAGTTAAGCCCCTATTTGTATGGGCAAGAGTTTTCCCTTGTGACTGATCACAACCCACTCGTTTGGCTTAACCGGGTCTCAGGAGACAATGGGAGACTGCTGAGATGGAGCTTGGCACTACAGCCCTACAATTTTACCATCAGCTACAGACCCGGTAAGCTAAACGGAAACGCAGATGGGTTGTCACGACAAACAGACGTTTCCATCACCTCGTAGTCCGGTCATCCCCAAGTTGACCCGCCACAGGGTCAAGCCGGGTCTGCCGGAGTGTCCCACAAGGAGGGAGCCGTGTGACAGAACCATCTGTCTGCTGGATTTTTGCCCGTTCGTCTGTTTGTCCCCGTTCGTATGAATGGCTGGTTTCTATAGCCCAGCCATTCGAATGACTCTTTTTCCCGAACAAAACCGCCGAACGAACGGCCACCCAAGTGAGGAGTGTGCTGCAGGTTAACGAAGTGATCACCATTATAACGTTGTGGTTAACCGCAGACACTTCTCAATTAAACCGAACTCAGGGTGGTCGTCGTTCGTATGTCGACCACGAGGCAGCGGCCATTTTAAATCATGCGAACGCTCAGCGGTGTTTGGCTCTATTTCTATGGAACGGAAAACGGACACTTTTTCTGTCGAACACCGCTGAAACAAGGGAACGCCTGGCTGCCTCCACGAAAGCATGCGAACATCGGCCGTTCGGGAGATTGAGAACACACAAAAGACTTAACCCAGATAGCCCACCCATGGAGTCATTCGTGTACCGAAGGACTGTAAGAACTTTGACTCCATGGCGATTGAACTATGTGTGTGGGATCTGAGCGCTATTCGCCAATAATATGCACTCAGATCCAGGCTATCTGGGGACATGTAATACGAATGGGAAATGTTCAGTTTTCATGTAGTTATGCATTTTTGTGTCTTTTATTATTTCATGTTTAAGATGGCGACTGTCCTTGTCCTGGAGTTAATTGAGTTACTTGGTAATTAACTCCAGGACAGAGGGGAGGGAATCAGAATGCACTGTGGGTAAAATATGTGACTGTGTGTCAGAAATGTCCTTCTATCTGTCTGTACTTTAAGTCTTCCATTTGGTCCCCTAGGGGAGTGTCCACCAGGTGGGAGACCTGCATAAATACGGGCAGGTAGCCCACAGTAAACCCAGATCTTATTTGACCCTCAATGCGGAGCTTCTGTCTCGTTATTGGGGGGATTTCTTCTTCACGTTTAGAGACTGCTGGATGGAACGAAAGCCGCTTTGGGGATATTATTGTTCGACGGTTCCTAGCAGTTCGTATATTGCCGTTCGGGAGTTTGGAGCCGTTCGTGGATTTCGATCGGGAGATTGCCGCTTCCCCTGCATTTGGTTCGTGGGTTACAGAGTAAGCGAACAGAGACTGTACTGCAGCCGGGGAAGGTTTACTAAACGGCGGTTTGGCTTAAAGACACGGGAGGTGTCTTAACACATATATTTTTTAGGAGGAAGATTCTGCTATGAGAGCTAGAGTGACACATTTTATCAGAGGGACCAGAGAACCAATGATGTCACAAGAGCTAAAGGTAGAAAGTACGAGACCATTCTATCAGAAGAACAAGAGTGAAAACATTCCATTGGATGAACTGAAGGTAAAGAGAAAACCAGTCAGATGGATTACATTGGAGATCATTCTGTCAGATGTCATAGGGACCAAAATCGGAGCATTTAGGCGGTGGTGTCAAACTGCAATGCCTTAGATGATGTTCTTGGAGCAAAGCTTCCATATTCCTGTACAAGCTAACGTCTTACAGAGAGTTATTGGAGTTGTAGCAAACCAATGTGTGGAGGTAAGGTAGGGACAGTTTGACACCATTGCTTACAGAATGCTGGCATAGAGGTCCTTACAGAACCCCATGTTCTGTATGTCCAACTTATCTTGCTACAGTAACTTTTTGCCGACCCATTGTACAGCAGTGCCCAATATAAACAATAGAGATAATAATAGCAAACTACAAATATAGTGGGTGCAGTGTGTGTGTATCTCTCTATCCATCTGTGCTCCCACATATTGCTGAGCATGGCAACCTCAGAATGTATGACTGTGTGTGTAACAAAAACACAAAAAGCACCTAGATACAAAACGCATCTTAATATATAATTTGATCGATATGTTGATTTCACTACTTTCACTTTGTATAAGGTAATATTTACCCAAAGGGCAAAATGTTTGTATGTGTCTCAGACCAGCACAACTGACAATCAAAGGACAGTCAAGATTGGTTATATTTTATTTATACTCTGAAATGGATGGCAAATAGAGAAGAATCATCATCTTTATACATTTATCTTAATTACAAAAGAGATAAAAGAACAATATTAAACTTTACAACAACTGACCGAGAAATTAAAATGTGTTAAGTCTTGCAAACTTTAAATTCATAAAATATGTTTACAAAGTTCTATACTAGAAACAGACAGAAGAAAATGATACAGTCAGACATGAAGACAAATGTATATGGATAGACACAAAGAGATGTGTGTGTTATAAGTATAACATTTGTCCTGGAGGCACGTACAAACAAATGGTGTTTTGTTGGGGCACAAAGCTCACAGTTCTCAATGTGGACATTTCTATTTGGGCAGAGCATGTGATTTATGGGTTTGACAGATGGATGCTGCTGGAGTTGTGAAGTATGACATTGTATAATCCTGCAATCCCCTTCAATATGACCTGCGTATTATAACAGAGTATTGACAAAGTTCTGTGCATAGCTAAGAGACACAAACTCATTTTCTTGTGAATCTATTGCCACCGGTGAAGTTACAAGAAAATACATTGAGTATGTGTTATAAATTTGCCATAAAATCTGTCTTATTCCACTTGTAAACACCTCCAGGAATGTCAGAGATGCTTATCATCATTTGGCAGCTTGGATGGCCCTATTTATACCCACATGGGAATGGGAGAAAAGTGTTGAACAGATATTATCTAGATAGACACATACAAGTAGAGAGACTTTCTACAGAGAATTGGAGATTGGAAAAGTAGATAGATTATCTAGACAGATTGTGAGGGAAGGAGACAGAGAATCAGAGATAAGCAGCACAGAGATTATCAAGAGTGATAGAGAAGAAATCATTGCTAGATTAAGAATGGGAGATATGTATATATATATATATATATATATATATATATATATATATATATATATATATATATATGTAGATATGTTATTAGATAATCAGTTGTGTAGCTATGTAGGTGGATATAAAGAGAGAGAAAGAGAAGAAAGTAGGAGAGAGCGTTGGAGGAAGATGCAGGTAAAGATATTGTCTTTAGATAATAGGATATGGGTGATGTTATCTAGATAGAGATAAGAAAGTGAGACAGAAACATAGAAAGAGGAGCAGAGATAAAGCACAAAGAATGGGGAGGAGGAACATTTGTTAGAATGAGATCAAATGAGGCAATGGTGGATATGTTGATAGATATAGATATCTCTATTTATATAAATAGGTAGCTATATATAACAATATATATATTTGTAAGTGGGTAGAAATGTAGATGAATACAGGAGAAAAATGGAGATGGATATATTTAGAGTGGGAGAAACATATAAGTAGGATTTTGTCTACAGCTAATAGGAAGTTAGAGAGGAAAGAATATTATCAATATAGAGTGAGAAAAGCAGATGAAGGAGAAACAGACACAGAGACAGAGGAAGGAGAAACAGAGACAGAGGAAGGAGAAACAGACCCAAAGGCAGAGGAAGGAGAAACAGAAACAGAGACAGAGGAAGGAGAAACAGACAAAGAGACAGAGGAAGGAGAAACAGAAGCAGAGCCAGGGGAAGGAGAAACAGAGACAGAGAAAGGAAAAACAGAAGCAAAAACAGAGGAACGAGAAACAGAAGCAGAGACAGAGGAAGGAGAAACAGAGAAAGAGACAGAGGAAGGAGAAACAGAAGCAGAGACAGGGGAAGGAGAAACAGAGACAAAAGGAAGGAGAAACCAAAACAGAGACAGAGAAAGGAGAAGCTGAAGCAGAAACAGAGATAGATGAAGGATAAACAGAAGCAGAGACAGAGGAAGGAGAAACAGAAACTGAAACAGAGGAAGGAGAAACAGAAGCAGAGACAGAGAAAAAGAAGCAGAGACAAAGGAAGAAAAAACAGAAGCAGAGGAAGGAGAGACAGAGACAGGGGAAGGAGAAAGAGAGACAGAGGAAGGAGAAACAGAGACAGAGGAAGGAACAACAGAAGCAGAAACAGAGGAAGGAGAAACAGAAACAGAGACAGAGGAAGGAGAAGGAGAAACAGAGACAGAGGAAGGAAAAACAGAAGCCGAGACAGAGGAAGGAGAAACAAACAGAGAGACAGAGGAAGGAGAAACAGAAGCAGAGACAGATAGAGATGTTATAGATATGTTATTAGATAATCAGTTGTGTAGCTATGTAGGTGGATATAAAGAGAGAGAAAGAGAAGAAAGTAGGGGGAGAAGAGAGAGAGCGTTGGAAGAAGATGCAGGTAAAGATATTGTCTTTAGATAATGGGATATGGGTGATGTTATCTAGATAGAGATAAGAAAGTGAGACAGAAACATTGAAAGAGGAGCAGAGATAAAGCACAAAGAATGGGGAGGAGGAACATTTGTTAGAATGAGATCAAATGAGGCAATGGTGGATATGTTGATAGATATTGATATCTCTATTTATATAAATAGGTAGCTATATATAACAAAATATATATTTGTAAGTGGGTAGAAATGTAGAGGAATAGAGAAGAAAAATGCAGATGAATATATTTAGAGTGGGAGAAACATATAGGTAGGATTTTTTCTACAACTAATAGGAAGCTAGAGAGGAAAGAATATTATCTATATAGAGTGAGAAAAGCAGATGAAGAAGAAACAGACCCAAAGGCAGAGGAAGGAGAAACAGAAACAGAGTCTGAGGAAGGAGAAACAGACAAAGAGACAGAGGAAGGAGAAACAGAAGCAGAGATAGAGGAAGGAGAAACAGACAAAGAGACAGATGAAGGAGAAACAGAAGCAGAGACAGGGGAAGGAGAAACAGAGACAGATGAAGTAGAAACCAAAACAGAGACAGAGGAAGGAGAAGCTGAAGCAGAAACAGAGACAGATGAAGGATAAACAGAAGCAGAGACAGAGAAAGGAGAAAGAGAAACTGAGACAGAGGAAGGAGAAACAGAAGCAGAGACAGAGAAAAAGAAGCAGAGACAAAGGAAGAAAAACAGAAGCAGAGACAGAGGAAGCAGAAACAGAAGCAGAGGAAGGAGAAACAGAGACAGGGGAAGGAGAAACAGAGACAGAGGAAGGAACAACAGAAGCAGAAACAGAGGAAGGAGAAACAGAAACAGAGACAGAGGAAGGAGAAACAGAAACAGAGACAGATGAAGGAGAAACAGAGGAAGGTGAAGGAGAAACAGAGACAGAGGAAGGAAAAACAGAAGCAGAGACAGGGGAAGGAGAAACAAACAAAGAGACAGAGGAAGGAGAAACAGAAGCAGAGACAAGGGAAGGAGAAACAGAGACAGAGGAAGGAGAAACAGAATCAGAGACAGAGGGAGGAGAAGCAGAAACAGACGAAGGAGAAACAGAAGCAGAGACAGATAGAGATGTTATAGATATGTTATTAGATAATCAGTTGTGTAGCTATGTAGGTGAATATAAAGAGAGAGAAAGAGAAGACAGTAGGGGGAGAAAAGAGAGAGCATTGGAGGAAGATGCAGGTAAAGATATTGTCTTTAGACAATAGGATATGGGTGATGTTATCTAGATAGAGATAAGAAAGTGAGACAGAAACATAGAAAGAGGAGCAGAGATAAAGCACAAATAATGGGGAGGAGGAACATTTGTTAGAATGAGATCAAATGAGGCAATGGTGGATATGTTGATAGATATAGATATCTCTATTTATATAAATAGGTAGCTATATATAACAATATATATATTTGTAAGTGGGTAGAAATGTAGATGAATACAGGAGAAAAATGGAGATGGATATATTTAGAGTGGGAGAAACATATAAGTAGGATTTTGTCTACAGCTAATAGGAAGTTAGAGAGGAAAGAATATTATCAATATAGAGTGAGAAAAGCAGATGAAGGAGAAACAGACACAGAGACAGAGGAAGGAGAAACAGAAGCAGAGACAGAGGAAGGAGAAACAGACAAAGAGACAGAGGAAGGAGGAACAGAAGCAGAGACAGGGGAAGGAGAAACAGAGACAGAGGAAGGAGAAGCAGAAGCAGAAACAGAGTAAAGAGAAACAGAAACAGAGACAGAGGAAGGATAAACAGAAGCAGAGACAGAGGAAGGAGAAACAGAAACTGAGACAGAGAAACAGAAGCCGAGACAAAGGAAGGAAAAACAGAAGCAGAGACAGAGGAAGCAGAAACAGAAGCAGAGGAAGGAGAAACAGAGACAGAGGAAGGAACGACAGAAGCAGAAACAGAGGAAGGAGAAACAGACAAAGAGACAGAGGAAGGAGAAACAGAAGCAGAGACAGGGGAAGGAGAAACAGAGACAGAGGAATGAGAAACAGAAACAGAGACAGAGGAAGGAAAAACAGAAGCAGAGACAGAGGAAGCAGAAACATAAGCAGAGGAAGGAGAAACAGAGACAGAGGAAGGAACAACAGAAGCAGAAACAGAGGAAGGAGAAACAGAAACAGAGATAGGAGAAGTTGAAACAGAGACAGAGGATGGAGAAACAGAAGCAGAGACAGAGGAAGGAGAAACAGAGAAAGAGGAAGGAGAAGCAGAAACAGAGGAAGGAGAAACCGAAGCAGAGACAGAGAGCAAAGAGATTATCAGTTGAGGTAGAAAAGGAATGATTGCTAGATTGGCAGTGAGAGGGAATGGTAAATATGCAGATATATATATGTTGCTAGATATTAATAGACATACATATGATAGCTAGGAATATGTGTTAAGTGATAGGAAAGAGAGACACAGCAGCGAGATTATTAAGAATGGTGAAAGAGATAAAATAGCTAGATTAATAGGGGAGAGAAAGTACTGAGAGAAAATGAGAGAAAGATCTGTAGATAGTTATGATGACAGATATAGATATCTATGACAATATATTTAAAAAGGTACATTGGTAGGTGCATAGCTAGATGTGTATATAGATTGCGAGACGGGTAGATATGACAGATGTAGAGACAAATATATGTGGAGACAGAAGAATAAATTGATAGGGAGATGGAGAGAGATTGTCAGAGAAATGGAAAGAAAGAGAGAAGCAGTGAAATAATTATTGAACAAGTTTAATCAGAAATAACTATTTTCAAAATACAAAACACCATAGACAGATATACATTTATAGATAGACAGTCTATATATATAGACAGACGATAGATGAATGGATAGATCGATAGACAGAGACAGACACAAAGATAATAGACAGACAGACAATAAACAGACAGACAGGCTGGCAGACAATAGACAGACAGATAGATAGATAGATAGATAGATAGATGTAAACATGCTTGTTATTCCATGTATTGTCAAAGCCAGAGTATTCCACAATTTATTGAATAACAATCCCTATAGTGATGCCTGATTCCGACAGAATGTGGAGCAGGCTCAGTGTCTTTTCTACATGTTCCACATTGTACACAGATGCACTGCACACTGGAGACTGCTGAAGAGGTTCAGTACTGCCATAGCTGGTTGAAGGGGACCAAACCTCTAGGGAAGACGGACTTGGTTCCGTTTGACCAGCCATAGCAGCCTGCAATGCTTGAGGAAGTGTTCTGTTTTTCTTTAAGGTTGATTGCTACTCCATTAACCTGCAATAGTAAAATAAAACTCAATTAATATACTGCATTTAACATATTAAAATGTACCAAATGATCTAAATAGAGTATCTAGGATTGTTTTTATTCATATAGAGCAAGTAACATTTAATGTTATAAGAACATATAGCACTTGTGAATGCAATATGTCTATTTAACTGTGAGCTAGCTTACTGCTTCTCAAATATGGGATCTGCACCCAAGAACTTGTTTGTAATATGTACTTTGCCAATCTACATCAAGTCTTCATTAAAACTCTCAAGGACTAGTACATCAGCAACAAACTGTGAATATTGCAGGGTCAGGTGGACCCCTCTACTAGGTCTCTAGGACTTTCCAAAATATTGGCTCAAAGACACAAGGGAGAAGCTGTAAGACATTAGAAAAGGCAGAGAGACACAGTGATAGCTTAGGTGCAAGTATGTGAGAGGCAGGGAGATGGGGGCGGTTACAACTAGAGCTTTCATAATAATACAGTCTGAAAAATACTGATTTAGATCAATTGATTACAAACACACAGGTAAATCTCTATTTAGAAAAACCTGTAGGATGCCTGTGAGGTCCAATGTTATTTCTCACGATCATTTATTTTTGCATTCTGTCTGTCTTAAGTGTAAAGCTATCAAAACAGTTAAGTTTCATACACTATTTGGTCAGACTAACTGGGGTGCATTAACAGCCTCCAGGATCAGAAAAATGAACCAAATTACTTATATTTTACCTATGGCTTGTTATCAAGCTGCTGTCAGTCATGTATCTTACGTGCATTAAATATGTAAAGGTCTGAAGAACATTATTACAGTGTCTAGTTCTGTTTATATTTACGCAATCTATCATTAATCTTTAAGAATATTAGGTTCTTACTAAACACCTATACTAGTCATATTAAAGAAAACGGTTAATCATTATGAACTCATTAATATTAAATTACATATGTCATATAATAAATGAAATGATTCCTATATGTAGACGTTCTTTCACTTAGCCTTTTTTATCTCCAAACCATATGATACAGTAACTGGTGTGCAGACACAGTAGATGACTTCAGTCAGTTAATTCTAGCCGCTCTGAACATATTTAGCACAATCTGATGCAAGAGCTCATTCTAAACTCCCAAATAGGGTGTCTGCCAGTTTGTAGGCTGATGACAACTGTTTCATGTTTCCAGACCACCTGGTCTGACAAATCCTATCCCTACAATCCCTAAGCACTATTCAAAACGATATGTTGGGTTGGTATATCAAAATATTACACACACCCCATAACCTTATTTAGCATGTGCATTATAATAATAAAAAAAATCATAATAAATAAATAATTAATAATATGTAAAAACATAACACAACCTAGCAGTCTTATAATAATACAATCATCCTTATAATAACAACAGATATAATGACAATAACAATACATTAATTTATATATAAATACAATTTAGTCATAATAATTAAAACATGTGATTCAATATTAATAATATCATTAATACCACTATAACTACTATAAAATGCTACAAATGCTACAGTGACTATGACATACACTAATTGTTGGCTTATATAAAGCATTAGTCATATAACAATCTAGAGAGAAAATTATAGCTCTGAGTTCACACTGGGTATTCTTGGTCAGAACAACTGTCTCTTCCCCCTCCCTATATCCAGCTCTACCTCACTTAGCAAGTGACCTTCCCTGGTGGCCTGACTCATTAATATCCACCCCCATGCAAAGAGCAGACTCTCAGCTGACACATTCCACATGTGAGTGAGAAGGCCTGGATTGAGTGTAACATGGCAAGGCAGAAAGAGGACAGCTGTTAATTGTGACATTGACACACACAAACAACCAAACACACACATAAGTAAAGATTTTTATCTACATTTCCTCCTTACACAGTGATCTGTTATAACCACTGGGAGCAGGATTGCAGTATTGATCCACAAAGAGAAAGGACAAAGCAAATACTATTTATACAAAAAGATAAAAAAATAAAATAAATGTAGACTTTTAACAAAAAGAGTACTGTTTCCTTTTGATTTAATGGGAGAGTATGACTTAGACAAGTCATGTTGATTTTCAGATCAGATGATTAAGTGGTCAGTAATGCTTCAGGGTAAATGGCCTTTGTTGGGAAAAGCACACAGAGACACTTAAATATAGATGCATACGTTAGAGTTCTAAACTTTAGTGCATACCTCCCAAGTGTCCCTATTTGGAGGGGACAATCCTCTGTGTCGCTTTTCGGTCACATTGTCCCTGTTTTCTAGGAGCTCCACATTGTTGGTGTGTCTGAGTGTGATAACAGAGCTCCACAGCAATCATGCTCCCGGTAATGTGTCTTTAAACTACAATAAATGTGTTTAGAAATCAGTCTGTGTAAATAAGATACATTGTTATTATTCTAAATTACATTTTAGTTGCAAAAATTATTAGTAAGTCACCTAAATCTTTTTCTGGAGAACTTCTCCCCTGGTCAACCCCCCCCCCCCATTCACACCTCTAAAATTAAAGCGCCCTTCTTTGTCCATTTGAAATGTTGGGAGGTGTGTTAGTGCTTTGTATGGTTCTACAGTGGGCTACATCTTACAGGAAGCAGGTGAGGGCAAAGAGGGAAAGCAAAAAAAAAGGACATCATTTTAAATAAAAACTAAAATTCCAATTGCCCTCTTGGAACTTTTAACGAAAACAGAATCCAACGAGCTGCCTTTGGCACTAATTCTGTTTCCTCACATTGTTGCACTGTGGCAGTTGAATGCTTTGGAACATCATATGTGAGCTAACCATTGAAAAATATAGCATGGGTGTATTTATAAGCCATCATTGTATTTTGTAATTGTATATGGTTATTGGCATGTATTGCTAATGGTGTTAGGAGTAGAGATATAACTGTATTATATCTGCACTCCAAACAACATTTGCAATTCTCTTTGCTATAAATATTTGCAATTTTAAAACAATGGCTATTCATATATAACCCTAATCTGAAATGACTTACTATATTTAAAAACATGTGATGATATAAGCATGCAATAATGATGTCACATTGGGGGGTGATGTCATAAACGTGTGCACTCTTTGCAATGCAGCGTAATGTGTTTCTCTCCTTCCTCTTGATAATTTAATGATGATTATGCAAAAAAAAAAATTACCAGGAAAGTTCTTAAAGTGGGCATTCATTAAAAAAAATGGTTTCTATGGTGATAGCTCCACTGTTAGATCTTTCTCCATAACCTTTGATGTATATGTAAGGTTTAGATAATTATTAATATATATACAGAATTAGAAAATACTCTGGAAAAAAAAAATGAATTAAATATTCTTGCAATTTATCTACAAGGATATTGTTGTTAGGAGGTAAGTCTCAGTGACACCACACACTTCCTTACATTCCATAATAACGTAAATCATATGGGCATATAAAGAAGCATGTTATCTCACGTGAGAAAAATCCCATCGTTCCTAAAGGCACCCTTATACATGCATGAAAATCAGTCGCTCATTTTCTCAAATAATCACATATCATATATCATATAACAGATCTAGGTGCATACATTGTTTTGTTGATTTATTGCTGTTAAAAAAATATATACGTATGGGTCATCAACCATTGTATTGATAATAAAATCCATTATAAAAGGTATTGTATATATTATGATCATGTGACGTTAAACAAATATGCAACATTGGCCACTATCATTTGCCAGATATGATTATACATATACTGACTGACTACTATAGCAGTGAAAGTAACGCTCCCTTTAGCCCTTTATTTGATTATGTATAAGGTCAGTCTAGAAATATGATGTAGACACAGTGTTCCGTGTTATGGAAATAAGATATAATGTACTCGCTGTGTTCAGCCAATGGAAAGGGGATTTCTAACTTGCTTGATTTTCATTGGTTATACACATTCTAATTTGGAATATAACATGTTGATAAGGGGTCTATCGATGCCTTCTTGTTAACACAGTTTATTACTTTTGCCTACGATGTTTGATTTCACTCTTACTACAGAAAGCTGTTTAAATTTGGCGTGACTTTGACATTTAATGAGTCATGTGGCAAGGCGTACATGAATTAAATGAAGTGCCCAGTAACTGTATCTTGAGCAGCTGAACTGCGTGCATCATAAGTGAATAATCCACAATGCCTTCTACAAGTGGGGTAATTCAGATTTTTTCCAGTCGACTATGAGAATAAAAACAGACCAAAATAGCAAACATCCTTGAGTATATATATTATACGTAAAAAATTGTTCTTATTTTTTTTTAGTAAATCCTGTTTATATATATTTTGACAGAATATGTGGCTCTAGAACTTAAAACTGTGAATATGTATGTGTATGCATATGTACACACATACACACAATATATACAAGCACATGGTGCATTTATAACTACAGAAGGAAAGAGATAGAGAAAGCATTTAACCCCTTAAGGACACATGACATGTGTGACATGTAATGATTCCCTTTTATTCCAGAAGTTTGGTCCTTAAGGGGTTAAATACATGGTTATTTAAATAACAGGGTTGCAGTTTATGGCAATTGTTTTAACCCTTTGTTTAACATAACAATTCTAATACTATTTTCTGATTGCCAGCAGTGGGTCTATAACGTAACATTATGAAACATATACGTGTATTGGTATATTACATCAAATTGTAAAATCACATTTTTGGTAAAGTAAGGTGTCCTTCAAATTAACTCAATGTCAAAGTGCATATGCTATAGTGCTAAAAGTGTGGTATATGTCAGGAGTAGCCAACCAGTGGAGGTGGTACAGGCAAAACACTAACAAGGAACTGAAAATATTGTTCATTAGACTGGGAATTGTGAAAAAAGACAGGTTTGAGAGCAAAAAAAAAAAAAAAAAAACTCTGTTGGAAAGACAAGTCAGCTATTTTATTCTGCACAGATTCAACCCATAATATGTTGTAATGCTGCCCCATGGCTGTAAAAAATACAGTTTTCTAGATGTTTAGGAAATATTACCAGTTGCAATATTTAGGATAATATGTTAATATATAAACCATAATACATTAGCAGAGCCCAGATTACAGGCACATAAAACACTTAACATACACATAGTTAAATCCCCCCTCTTATAATATTGTAAAGCGCTACGGAATCTGTTGGCACTATATAAATGGCAATAATAATAATAATAATAATAATAACACACACTAAACGCTTTACATGTAATTACCTGTTTAGTGACTCCTTCAATCTCTCCTCGGCGCAGTGGAATGTTCTATGTTTCTGCAGTTTTTTCGAGACCTCACTCAGATATTACATGACTGATATAGAAGGCTGCGTGTCAGTCTAAAAAAGCTGTCAAACCTCACTTAAAAACACTAAAAAAAAATCCTAGTTTTTAAGAGAAAAAAAAGACTATCACATTATTTTTCAAGCTATGAAAATACATTTTGACCAGCTAACTTGTAAATAATCACTATTAGCTGCAATATATGTCTAGCTATCTGAATAGCTGTTTCTGATACCAAGTCTATCTCTTAGTTATTAGCAAAACGTCTGCATCAATCATGTTGTGATACCACTAAAGTACAACAGTTCTGCCACCCTAGTCTGGTTTAAGCTCTAGTCTCTCTCTATTTCTACAAGTTCTCTGTATTCCTTATCCCTAGCCAGGGAGCTGTTCTTGGGAGTTCTCTGTGTGCTTGTGTCCTGGCTTATGCCCCTGTAAGGCCAGATTTCTCCCTTTTTGTATTACATGTTGACCCCCTACACTCGCCTCACACCTGTCTGTGTCGCTTAGAGGCCTGGGCAATTCTAATGCCTTCTGTCCACCTCAATCACTGCTGTGACAGGGAACAGAAAGCTGTTAAATTACACCTCTTCAGCTGTCTCACTATATGACTGAACATCCTTCGTTTCAAGCCTTTTTCAGATTGAGAAGTGTGCGTACATCTACTTTTCCATTTATAGAAAAAATAAAATAAGGGCATACAGGGAGAACAAAAAGAGGAGAACGTAAACTTATTAATGCTTGTTATAGTTACAATTGAGATAGAAATGATCTCATAATTGAGATTATATATTATGACTTAGTATAATTTTTTATCAAACAGCGTATTTAGTTGGTTACAATTGTTTACAGGCACAACTGTGAAAATGAAATGATACTAACGAAAACATTAAAAAAGATTACTTATAGTTTGGAAAGATAAAAGTTTAATGTGATTTTTTTTAATCCAGTGAATATGTCTAACTCGCAATTATTTATTATGTGTTTTTTTATTTTTTATTTTTTTTTAGGTTTGTAGTTATTTTAGTTGTACTTTATAGGCTCAAATACTCAAAAAACATCACGTTCCCTTTCCCAGCCTTACCACCCCTCAAGGTGCAAATGTTAGTGCCTGCGCTCACAGATAGGGACTTCTTCAAACATATGTGGTAGTCATGGTGAGCACAGTCGGTTACCCTAAAACCTGTAACTTCCTCTATACCCAACGTTTGTGGTTCGGTGTTATGTTTGGTTGCCATTCGGGGTGATGGGCAGTGCCATATTTAGTCCTAGACTGACGAGGTTTAGGGCAGCATGTTCGGGGGGTGCTGTTGCTTATGCCTATTTAAAAGTCAGGACAGCTGCCTGTATTCTGTAATATATCACAATATCATGTGTCATGAAGTGACATAGGAGTGGAAGAACTATATCCTGTCCTTCTATTTCTCTCCATGATCTCCGCTGCCAGTTTGAAAAGGCACTGGCACCCATGTCCTGTGACCCACTGCCAACCAACAGTAATTCATTGCTCAATATATTTAAGTGAAAGGGGCAAGATTGCTTATTACTGAGGGAAGAAGGTACGATTAGTGATGGGACAAGAGGTGTGAATAGTGAGAGAAAAAAAGGGACAGCATGTCTGAATAAAGATATAGGGAAGTGCACATGATATCTCATTACTGAGGAAGGCAAGAGTACACGATTTCTGGCGAGAGATGGAAAGGGGCATGATGTTGGATTACTGAAGAGGAAGGGTGCATGATGTCTGATAAGTGATGGAGGGAAGGTGAATGATGACTAACTACTTAGCGAGGGGAGGGGATGTGATGGCTGATAGTGATATTGAAGAAGGAGTGATGAGGAAGGGGGAAGAGTGGCCAGTAACTAAGTGGAAAGAGAGAATTAGATTTGTGGATACTTTTTTCAAATTATTTAATATTTTTGGATGAACATTTAAAATGATTTCATATGTTGAAGAATATTTTAATATCTTGACTTTTTGATGCATTAATATATTTTTTTATATATGATATATATATATATATATTTATATTTAAATGCTTTGGACAACAATGTCGTAAACTTACCCAAAAATATAATAAAATTAGTCCTTTTTAAAAGTGTTTTATGGCTAGGAGAAGGTAAAGATATGATTGCTAATAAGGAAGGCAGCAAAGAGGCATTATGTTTGATTAGAGACGGACATGAAGAAGGGTGTACGCTGGCTAATTAGGGTAGATTCGTGAGTAAAACTGAAATTATTGAACTGGAAAACAAAATGTAATTGAAGTAGTGAGTTGAGTGGAGACCAAATGTTGTATCTGTTTCTAAATATAACAATTGAGGTGAGCCATGTGTTTTATAAAATATACAAAATAGGGCTTTTTCTTGAAGAAGTACAAATACAAATTAAGGAACCAGAATATGATCCATCATGAGCCATCCTAACAAACGCCCAACCACGTAGAAGAGAAAGCAAAATCGATATTAAAAACATTATTAATAAACCCCATTTGCCTTTTAGTTCCCTCCAGCACAAAACATTCACCCTGAGGAGACATATTTCTTTCCTGACTGACCTCAGATTATGCCCTCTGCATTATCAAGGAAGACTGCATTGTCCACCAAGTAAAGATGCTTGGTTTAGCTAGATATCTGTGTTTACTGTTTGTGGGCAAAATGCCCAAAGTTTTCATGTTTACATTCTGAGTTAGTTAGTTCTGTGGTATTTTAGGAATCTGCATTAATTCCCAAAATGCTAAAAGAGCCAATTCAAATAGCCATCACAGGAGCGCATTACCATTTATTTTTTCGCCTCATACTAACTGTATATTATAAAAGTGTCATTACACTAATAGTTTGTAGCCAGTATATATTGCTAGACAGGAGATAAAACATGAGTTACTGTTTATACATCTTCCAATATGATTTATTTTATAAAAATGTTGAAGGGATAAATAAGAATAAATACTCTAGATTTACAATTATTTTATTTTTCATAAACAATGGCAATCTATATGAAACTTTTACCCCCAAAAAATTGTACATTCCATCTATGAATTCTGTTTTTGAACTAAATATGTTTAACTTTGTGATCACAAACTGGATTTTAAATTCAGGCAGAGGAAGTATTTCTAAAATAACTAGGATAATTTGATATGGTCTTCTAACACAAGAATATAGGACAAAAAAT